TTTTGACTTTTACCTCCAAGTCTTCACGTTGAACTTCTATCTCTCACTTTTCCTCTCAAGATCTCGTGGTCCTGTTCCGTTTGGTGATGCTGTCTTTTCAGATCGAAGGGATGAAACTAATTTTATCTGTACTATTAACTTCATTAGCAGTAACATCGGCTACTAGTAAGTCTCTGCTCTATACCTAGTTGTCAGGTCTTCCCTTTTGATTCCCTTCCGTTTCAGAATATGGTGTCGGAGACCGGGCTCCGTCTCGCCTTCATTTCGAGCCCAAGATCGAGCCAGTCCGAGAAGAGCCCAAGATCGAGCCAGTTCCAGAAGAGCCCAAGATTGTACCAGCACCAGAAGAGGCAAGATTGAACCAGTGCGAGAAGAGGCTGTCGTAGCAGCTTCAGAAGCAGACATGAATAAGGCCGTTGAGAAGCTCGCAGCTCTGGCTGAGGATCTGAAGGCAACGAAATACGCGCCACCAGTCGAACCGCCAAAGGAGCCAGTGCAAGATGTACCGGCTACCGCTCCGCCTACCGAAGCTCCACCGACCACGGTTCCGCCAACGACCTTCAAGTTAGTCGCCTACCGTTTCAAAAAAGTTGGCTGAGTTTTAAGAAATGCTTTTAGGTATGTGTTGAACGAGAAGGCTGCTGAGGCGTATTGGAAAACATTTGTACCGCCAGTCATGACCACTGTGGCGCCACCACCTGCTGAGGATATCCCTGCAGTGAATCCCTACGATACACCAGCACCACCACCAGCTGAAGATGTTCCAACTGAAGCTCCCACCCAGCCACCAACCGAGGAGCTTACCACAATGCCCCCACCAGCTTACGCTCCACCTGTGGAACTGCCAACTGAAGCTCCCACTGAGCCACCAACCGAGGAGCCCACGACTCTTCCACCAGTAGAGGAAACCACCCTGCCCATCTACGCTCCACCAGCACAGGACGTTCCCACTGAGGCTCCGTTCGTGCCACCTGTAGAGGAGCCTACAACTATGCCACCACCAGTCTACGCTCCACCTGTGGAGGAACTCCCCACTGAGGCTCCTACTGAGCCACCAACCGAAGAGCCCACTCTTCCACCAGTTGAGCCGACAGCCCTTCCAGTATACGCTCCACCAGCAGAGGACGTTCCCACTGAGGCTCCGTTCGTGCCACCTGTGCAAGAACCTACAACTATGCCACCACCAGTCTACGCTCCACCTGTGGAGCTCCCCACTGAGGCTCCTACTGAGCCACCAACCGAAAAGCCCACTCTTCCACCAGTTGAGCCGACAGCCCTCCCAGTATATGCTCCACCAGCAGAGGACGTTCCTACAGTGGCCCCGTTCGTGCCACCTGTGG